CCCAGCCATCAGAGCAAGGAGATGCTGCCACAACCCAAAGACAAGCAGGTGTGAAACACCCAACAGCTCCAAACAGAGCAGGATCCATTCCCCGGCCATGGTCACCAGCAATGACAGGAGGTGACAGTCAAACCAGAGCCCTAACCCTACTGGAAACAGAGAGAGACACATCCTGCTGGAAACCACTGCCTCAAGTCCCATTGCCATGGGCTGCTCACACATTTGGGGAGCAGCTGAGCCCTGCTCTGCGGGGCAGGGGTAGGAGTATGCTGGAAATGGGAACATTCCTCAAAATCAGACACTCTGATCCCAATGGAGTCGGTCACTGTCCTCATGGCAATGCCAAAGCCAATGGGACAAGAGGGAAAAAGAGAGAGAATGGCACGGAGAGGCTTGGAGTTTGAAGTGAAAAGCAGGCTCTTGGTGCAGGGAAACGTTACCCTGAGGTTTAAAGGAATGAGCCCTGGTGCAAACATCAGAGCTCCTGCAGGAGGCTGATGGAAGCACTGCTCTGTCCCACTGCCCTCAGCGGTCCTCACTGCCCACCCAGATGAGCTCAGTGATGTGCTGCACCCAGCGTCTGTATGGAAGAGCTGAGGGGCTGGGGACACAGCAAACCTCTTCATCACACTTGGGATAATCAACTCCCATCGTGAATGTGGTTTGCAGAGCTCAGCTGGGCTCGTGTCCCTTCAGCTGCACCAAGCCCATGGGCACAGAGAATCACAGAATGGTTTGGCTTGGAAAGGACCTTAAGATCATCCAGTTCCAACCCCCTGCCATGGGCAGGGACACCTCACACTAAACCATGGCACCCAAGGGTCTGTCCAACCTGGCCTTGAACACCGCCAGGGATGGAGCATTCACAACCTCCCTGGGCAACCCATTCCAGTGCCTCACCACCCTTACAGTAAAGAACTTCTTCCTTATATCCAACCTAAACTTCCCCTGTTTAAGTTTGAACCCGTTACCCCTTGTCCTGTCACTACAGCCCCTAAGGAAGAGTCCCTTTCCAGCATCCCTATAGCCCCCTTCAGATACTGGCAGGCTGCTCTGAGGTCTCCACGCAGCCTTCTCTTCTCCACGCTGAACAGCCCCAATGTTCTCAGCCTGTCTCCATACAGGAGGTGCTCCAGCTGCAGAAGGGACCTCAGGAAGCCACCCAGCTCCATCCACACCACAGCAGGACCCGAGGCACTCCAAGCTTTGCTGGCCAGGAAGCACTGGTACCAAAGCCATGCTGAGCACAGCATCCTGCATGGTCACTGCCCCCCTCGAGGGAATGGAAACCACAGCAGGGTTTTATGACACCATGAACCTCAGTGTTCCCAGCACCTCTGGTAGCACAGGCCCTGCTCACAGGGGTTATTCCAGCCTGAAGGGCAGATTTACCAGAACGAATCCCAAGGGAGAAGCAGCCATGGGGCTGTTTGCACCCCTTCTACCAAGAAAAGCTCCAACATGAGAGGAGCAACAGCTCGTTTCTTCCTGTTTCCTAGTAAATCAACTATAACAATCATGGCAGGAGACTCCCCTTGGCTCTATCCTCCCCCTGAAGAGCAGATTCAGTGAGCAGCTTCCCTGAGTGGCAGAGCTGTGATTTACTCCCAGCACGGGACCCATTAAGATGGGGGGCAGCAGGAAGTTTCTGTTTGCCCCCCACCCAAATTCCCTTCCCCAGCCATTCTGAGGATCAGATAAGCTTCCCAGCTTCCCTTTCACATTAACAGGTTTGGGAGTGCGAGCCCGTGGTTTGGTTAAAGAAGCCCCAAAGACACGTTCATGAAGGGGAGCTCACACCACGCTCCTTTCTTCGCACAGAGTGGACGCCATCACCCATCCACGGGATGCTCTAAGTCCAAGCACCCCCCAAAACCATGTTGGTACCCACAGCTGGGCACAGACTGCTTCAGAACCCGAGCTGACAGCTGCAAATAGCCAAAATGCCCTAAAATACCCCATCCCAAAGGGACTTCCCATCGGTGGGCGGCTGAAACCTCAACAGGTCCCACATCAAAAAGCCCAGTCCCCAGCAAGGATGCAGCAGCTGAAGCCAATCCCAGCACTGTGCCCATAGCACGGGCATCTGTCACCCCTCAGAGGACCCAAACCCTCAAGCTGCTCCCTTCCCAGCCACGTATCACCCTCCAAACCCTCTTGGATGGGTTTTGAAGCCACTCTTAGAGCCTAGCTCCCAGCGAGGGTTACTGCGTCCTCATGGCTACCAAGGAGGAGAGGCGCCATGCTCCGCACCGCTCCCACCGAGCCCTCTGCATCCCACCGGTTCTATTTGATTCCCTTCTAAAGGGGCTGTATTTCTAGTTCAAACCAGCTTGTTTGTGTAATTGCCAGCAAAAATGAAACGAAATAAAGAAGAAAGACACAACCCGAGCCTGCTACAATGAGTAATTATCCTGCTCCTGCCTCGTACCCTGTAAACAAATGTATTTGTAACCAATTTGCAAGCACTTTGCATAAGGGGCCCAGAACACTCATGCCTGTTTGATGCATTTTGACATTAATTTGATAATAGCAGCTTAACAAGGAATCCAGGCTCCCTAGCTATAAATATGCTGCTTTTCCACTTCCTTTTATCTGCGCAGTGAAATAATGTTTTTCCCCCTGCTGCAATAACCACCATCCAAAGCCTTTCATGAATGCCCTTTATGTCCTTTAGCATTTCAAGGCTTTCTTTCTCTGGGTTTTTCCCCCCCCCACCTCCCTCCCTCTCCTCCTGGAGAAGGTAAAAAAGGGGTTTATTGGTTGTATTGTTAATTCCTGTTCATCAGGGGGAAGGAGAAGAGAGGACAGCGACGATGCTCTGATAACGCAGCTTCCAAGAGACTTGTTGGTACAGAAACACCTCTCCATCCGTTTGTGCTTCATCTCCAAGGGAGAGCTCGCCCTCTCCCTCCTCTTCCCCACTCGCTGTGGCTCTCCCTCGCCACACAAGCCTTGCACACCAGAAAGCAAAGTCAAGCATGGTGAAATGGCAATGGGACACCGGAGTCCACTCTGATGCCAATCAGGAAGCCACCATGGGCCCCAGGGTGGCTTTGGACCGCTCCAAATCTGTGCTTGATGGGACAGTGCACACCACCACGAGGAGCATCCCACAGGGACAGCACAAAAAAGAGCTGGATCATGAGGAATGAAACAGGGTTATGGCTCTCATTCTGGTCCCTCTCAAGACTTTCCACCTAATCCCATGGTTAGAACCTCGCTGGTTATCACTCATGCACCCATCCTGCACCTCTGCCTTGCCTGTCAGCCCCAGGGAGAAGCTGCCTCTGGGGCCTGGGAGGTACCAAGCACACAGTGAGCCCCTTGGGAATTGTTGCCTACATCCTGCAGCCACAGATGAAGCCTCTGAGGGATGGAGCAGTTTGGCCTCTCTCCTCCATGCTCCCTTCTCCTCCACCTTGGAGCCAGCGATGCACAAGCTGCTCCCACGTTGATGCAGGGGGTGAGAAGTTGCACTCAAGAGCACAGAACCAGGGGGCTTCTCCTCCTGCCACCCCAGGCCTTGAGACCTCCCAGACAAGGTCTCAGCAGCCACAGGAACGAGCCCTTCACCCTCAGCCCTTTCACCCCTCCGCTCCCGTTCCCCCTCCTGGAAACGGAGTTGCGTCCCTCTTTGCCAGCAGATAAGAGGGCACGAGACCAGTGCTGAACGGGAAGAGGGTTTGTTCCTCACGGGCCCACCAGCACATCACATGGACCACGGCCCTTCCACCCATTGCCCCCTTCAGTGCTCCCCAGGGTCGTTCACACCAGAACCCCATGGCCAGTCCCAGCGATAGCTGGAGGCTTAGCAGAGTCCGACAGCGCATTCTTCCCTCAGCCTCCTCCCTCCTTATCTTTCCCAAAACCACACTTAGATAAAAGTTATTGGAACAATAAAATCCATAACTTAAACACGAGGGCAGGAGGGATGGAGGGAGGGAGGGTCTCTGCTCCGTGCCCTGGGGAGCAGCCTCAGCAGAGCAGGAAAACAACAGAGGAGAGCCCATGCTCCCCGCTGGAACAAAACCTGGTGCAGGACCTTGGAGCATTGTGTGGAGAGACCACAGCACGTGTGCTCTCCTGCTCTCCCACACGAGTCCTGCACAGCCTTACCCACCTTTTGAGGGATCTCCTGCTGCTTCACCTACCTGGGATGGGCTGGTTTAAGCACATGGGTGCATGGGCTGCACTGTTCTCCACCAAGCTGTTCCTCCTGCATGCCTGGTTTGTGGATTTCTTCAGTCAAAAGTAGACGCTGCAGGTACCTGAAGTCCAGTTTCTCTGTGAAGCACTATCCTGCACCCTACAAACATCAACACAGGGGACAGCAGGACCCATGTTTTCTTCAGCATTGATCAGCATTCCCATGCAGGGAAGCCCAGCGGCTGGTGCTGCCCCAAGTGCAGAGCTGTGGTCCAGCACATCCATCCCGCTTCCCTCGATATTTGAGGAGCATTCCATGGACATTCTTTTCCCCTTCAAGACCTGGTGGCAATAGCATCCTGCTCCCCTCCATCCCTTCAATATGTGGTGCTTTCAAGCACTACCACAAGCGCCCAGGACCCGGGGACCACGCTCCTGCTATGGCTGGAGCACACCGTCTTCCCCTTCCCGCAGCCACCACCATCCCAACTCAACGGCATCCATGCTTTGGTTCACTTGCCCAGGCCTAAGAGCTGTTTTGTCCCACAGCAACATAGCTCAGGAGCTGAGTACATGGAGATCCATGGAGGAAAAGCCTTTCCTACAGACAAAGCAGCTCCTTTAACGTGCTGCTGAGCCCACAACCATGGGGGTTCACAGAGCAGCACCCGCAGACCTCGGACCTGGACCTCATTAGCATCCTTTGCCCCAGCACTCCCAGTGTGGACCGGGGCTACCCCTCACTGCAGCAACCCACTTAGGCTTGAAGTGTGACACCAAAGCAGACGTGCAAGGCTTTGGGCTGTGCTTTGAAAGGGAAATGAGAGGCGGGAGGCAATGAGGAGACCTGGTTCCAGCTCGGTTTCACTCTTTATTTGAAGTTTCACATGCCACCAGCGTACATGAAAGTTGCACATTCAGTATTCGACTCACGACTAGAACTAAGGGCCAGATGCGAAAACCAAGTGTCAAACGAGGGCACGGATGGAGGAGCCTGAAGGTACTCGTGACCAGGCTGTGCCAATGGCACCTGAGCCATCGGAGAACCCACTTTTGGTGGGCATCTCCCTTTGCCATGTCCAGGGCGCTGGCTGCGAGCTGGCTCTCCTCTCCCCAAGCAGCACTGTTCCCTTTCAACGAGCAGTTTTGGTACCACCTCCACCAGAACCGAGGGTGTTTGGAGACCGACTGCCCATTGGATGCCTTCCTGCCTTCCCCCTTTTCCATCAACGCCAGGAGTTTTTCCAACGAGAAACAATTCCCACCCGCTGCTTATAGGGAAAGACGACAGGAACAGGGACTCTTACACTGACATCTTCTGTTCAAACAAAGTTTTCTGATGATAGAAGCCCATTTTCCCCAGCAGCCTTGGGCAGGGAGTTGCAGCTTCTACTTCAAAGGGCCAACTTCAAAACCAAATGCAGTGTCCTAATGGTTTTGTGCTACATTACTTAATTGTCATACAGCTAATTAGCAATGCCTGATTCCCCACTCTCTGTACCTAAGATGAAGCGCACAAAAGAAGGGGGCTACTTGAAAGAATAAATAAACCAAGGCACCAGGCAGCCAGGCTCTGAGAACATTAACATAAAACGTTACACTTTCCCATGTAAAACACTGAAATAACCCCCCCCATCATGATTAAACCTGTATTGATCTGCCTCCCTTCAGATCTCAGGGCTTTGGATCCCTGTGAGGATGGGGGGGGGAAGAGGAAGAGGGGGCTTAGCGTGTGCCTGCGTGTCTCACACCAACCCATGCAGCAGAGATCTTTAAGATTCTAATTATTTCCCTATCACCAAGTCACATAGGGATCAATAGATGGCACAAACCGACCCCTTTCCTCCAGTGTTGGGGGGGGGGGGGGAATGAAAGAACCAAGAGAAAGGGGAGGGCGAAAGGAGAGCGTCAGAGGTCAATGCCACAAAACAATACATATTGATGTCTCCATTCATTTCAACCAGCGGAAAGGTCAATGCCTCCCCTGCTTCATGTTTTATGGCTGAAATCCTGCTGCTAACAGCAACAATGTTAGTAGGCAGCCCCCATCCATCCTGTTTTATTCTTACCATTATTTCTAACCAGGTTAGCCATTTTGAAAATTGGGAAGCAGTGGTGGGGAGGAAAAGAGGGGATGCTGCCCTGGAAATTAATGGAAGAGATGGTTTCCATTAGTTTCTGAGCCTGCCTGTCCCCCCACAACCTGTGCTCCAGTTTGCCCCTCGCTGCCCCCTAAAAAATGAGAAGGGCCTGAGGCAACATCCCTTCACTATTAATCATTATTCCCTGTACAACATCCCAATTGGTTTCTATGGAAATGATTCTCCTGCTGGAGTACCCCGGCTGCCTGCGCATCTGATCAGAGAGGCAGGAGAGCCGCAATGAAGATGTGCCTCCGCAGTACCCGACGTGGCTCCCTGCTCCAGGCTCCTGTACCTTTGTCTGGACGCTCTGCTGGGATCAGCCAAGGGGGACTGCACCTCCTTCAAGCACACAAAACAACCCTGCTGCACTGGTTAATTCCCAAAAGGAAAAGCCCCACCTTCCTGTGGCCACAGGGAATACCCCATCCTGAAAAAGGGATGCTGAAATACAGCACCCAGCACCTCACAACGCACAGTCCCATTCCTGTACATCGTCCCAGGACTTGTCATGCCTCTGAACATCAGCAAGAGGAAGCGACAGACCCTGCTCTGTTCCCCTGGGAGCAGGCCTGGGCAGAGGAGGAAGGAGGTAGTCATGCGGATTGAGGAGAGCAGGGTCACTGCTCTGCCACCCACCAGCCTGCATCAGCAGCCCCAGCCCTGCAAGAGGGGACACCGAGGCCCAGGTCTCACGGTGGGTGTCTGGCTTCCAGCTTGAGGTCCATGACACCGTTCTGCCCTGTCTCCTTCACTCCCATCTCTCCTCTGCCTGCCCAGCCACCTCCTTGACTGCAGTCCAAGCTCTCCTGAGGGGAGAGGCCATTGCCACACAGCCCTGTTCCAAACTGAGCAGTGGGTACGCTGCCATTCCTTAAAGGATCCATGAAATCAGCTCTGGAGAACAGTGAGGAGCAATCCTTTAACCTACAGACCTAAGGAACACACCGACACCTCAGCCCCACCAAACTCCCCACACCAAACCCACCGCCACTCTTCAGGTCTGGCTCCTCCCATCCGGCAGGAACCAAATGCCACTTGGCTGAAGAAGACTTTGGATTTAAGCAGAGCAGCAAACAAGAAGTGATTTTCCACACTAACGGCACTTGACCCAGAATCTCCCCCTCCCAACCAAGTGTGGGCACCTCGCTTGTGGGCAAAGCAAAGATTTCTTCTGCATTCCCCAGAGATCAGAGGACTGATTTCGGAGCACAGCGAGGAACAGGCCGGCAGGGAGTGGGAATCCTGCAGAGGCGCTCCCTGGGAGAAGGGCACCTTTTGTAATTGAATTCATCTATTTTAGAGTATGGACAGTGGCATCAGCAGGCTCAGAGGTCACCTCATTAGATGCCTACAGATAGCAGGGAGGGAGATTTCTAAAGAGATGGGGACAGAGACCAGAGGAAAGGAGGGGGAATTTGATATTACTAAGAGCTAGGAACAAACCACCCATCTCTCTGCTCTCCTCTCCTCCTCTAATGCTGCACACCGGAGCCTCAGCGCCGAGTGGGCTCCGAGTCCCATATATTGCTCTGCTCAGAACATATGGTGTGATGTTTAATAGCCCGGCTCTGCCAATTGGGGACTATTAGGGTGGGTTCTTTTCCCAGTGTAAATGTTGCAGAATATAAATTGTAATTAACACCGATGCCAAAATAGCACTTAGAGAAAATAAGCACATTATTAACATCTGGTGAATCCTGCCTCGAGTGCAGAAGCAGCGGAAATCCTCACTCACCAGAAGAGGATTTGCAGGAGAGGTATCGAGCACTGGCCCGGAACTGGGGAGTCGGGGCTGGAAGGAGTTTTTAGCTCTTTAGCATTATTTGTGGTGCTGTCTTTGTTACCTGGGGGTGACCTTTCCCAGCCCTGATTATAACCGGTAGCATTTGCATGGGGACTTCTGACCCGCTTGTATGAATACAGATGTCTAAGCATCCTACTCCAGGCAATAGAATAATGGGGTTATAAAACATGCCTGATTGCAAGACGCGAGGCAGATGGGTATCGCTTTGCCAAGCAAAAGACAGAGCTTGTTTCATCAGGTTGCTCCAACCCCCAAGACCAAAGGGTTAACACCAGCATGGAGCAGCACGTGTTTTCTGCATTCCACTGTCCCCCAGCCCAGGTTTCCCAATGGGATAGGAACAGGCAAGCCCCTGGTTCTGCCAAACTCTTGCCGATGCCACAGTATGTGGATGGGAAATCCCTGCTGAGGGTGGGAATGGCTCCTGTAGCATGTACCAGACCTTGAGATTCCTCAAAACAGGTCCCATTAAGCATCAGAGCTCCATACCCTCAGCCTTCCCACTACTCTGCCCCAAGGCTAGAGGCACAAGGAGAGGAAAGCAGCTCTGCTAATGTTCCCAACAAGGAGAAAGCAGCTTTGCAAACACTCACTGCCTATCCCTCACTATTTATTCTAGGAAAGAAACAGAAGGCAGGCAGAGCTGAAGTGGACTGAACTGGACAGAGCAGTGGCTCGTGTTCCTGCCGGAAAGCACATCTGAGTTGCTGAAGAGAGGGAGAAGGAGAGACAAAAGCAGTTGGAGAGGGAGAGAGGGATTCAAAGAGGCAAGTAATATGACAAGAGGTAGAAAGAACGACCTCGTTGGGAGAGAAAACAGTGGCAGGATGCCAAGAGCAGGGCACCAGCTCCTTGCACTCACCAGCACAGTGCCTAACCCGAGGCAGAGTCTCAAACGCTTGCGGGGCTGCAGCCATTCCCAGGAGCACGAGCCAGCTTCACCACCTCGCTACCTGCTGCAAACCAGACACCGCTGTGGCTCCCTGCCCTGAGTGGGGAAGGGAGAGAAGCTCAGCGCAGAGAGCAGCCACATGCAGGGGTTAGTTTTAGCACCGCAGACTTTGTGCTAGTAGAAGGCTAACTAACATTAACCTGCTGGTGAACAGCCTAACCTAGCCAAGCACAAGGGTTACTGCAGCCTGGCTCAGGATTTACACCCCCAAGACATCACCAGGCGGGTTCACACCTGAGTGATGGGAAAGCAAGGAGAGAAAGTCCTCCAAAGCTGCGAGGGGCATTTTGCTCTCGTATCAATCCCAACAGATCAGGCTTCTTAGGAACCGCTGATGGAAGAACATGGATTGGGAGATGGCATCTTGTGTAGAAAATGCCAACAAGGAGATGGGGACCATCACCTTTGGATGATGCATCTGGGCTTCCCTAGAAAAGCAGCGCTCACTCAGCACATTAGGGGATGTTTAGGTGGAGAAGCTGCTGTAGCCGTTTTGCAGAAGACAGACCCAGTGCGCTACCATAAAATACTCCAGCAGAAGGGAAATCCGAGTGCCACCCAGAAACGTAGCTCCAGGAATTCCTAACTTGGCTTTTGGTACAGCTGTCTGATGCTTTCAAAAGTGCTCAGTAAATAAGGCAATATGAAAGTGATCCAGACCACTACTGGTGCCTGAGGAAGTTCTGTGGAGCAGAGAAGCTGACTGAAATCACACTGTGAAAACACTTCCTAACGTCTCTAAAATTAGCATGAGCTCAAGGCATGGGATCTAAGGAGAGGGCTGAAACACTACATTCCCATCTACACTGCAAGACAGACCGCGTTTAAAATCACATCCAAGCCTCAACTTACTGTAGGCACCATCTACCCCTAGGACATGGATTTCCAAAAGAGCTGAGATCTGCTTCCACCAGATGGATGGAAACAGCATCAGCAAGAACACACCACGGTCGAGGCACTAATGACCTTTAATTTGCTATTCAAAATAAAAAGAGAGTCCTTGTGGCACTTCTCAATCAGAAATAAACCCCTTTCAATTGCTGTGATTGCATGTGTGTGACCACAAATGTGTACTTGGAACATAGAAAAGATGTGATGCACTTCAACTGAGCAACACGGGTTTGTGCCTTTTAGCTGGCTTGGGCTTTCTACTTGGCCAAAAACAGACTGAAGCAAGAATGATTTCCACCAACACCACACAGCACACTGCTGAAGTACACAGGGGCCCTTTAGGAAATACACCAGGCGACACAGAAAGAGCATCATTAAGTCAGTTTCTCTTACCTTTAACTTCAATAAAATAACAAAACAATTCCTATTAACCGCAAGGAAATACTCATCAGATTCCAGGAGCCTCGGAGACGGGATTTGCAGATGCAAGCAATATCCAATAGATGGTTTCCCCACTGCAAAGGACCGGCTTCTTTTATTTCAGTTTGCAATTGCACCTATTTCAAGTGATTGTACAGCATCCAGGGAGGTGGCCGGGAGCTGAAGGATGGGCAATCGAGGCCAACAAGGAGCGATTTCACCGTGTGCACGCTGACTGTCCTTGCCATGCTGTGAGAGTCACCACCACAAGTTGGGAGGTTCCTCGGCCACTCTGCTTTTAAACAAGGTAATTTCATCCAAGTGCCGCATGGGGACATCTCTGATGACCTCTGTCAAGTCCTCATGAAGCAGAGGGAAAATGACGACGTTTAATGCAGGGCGATCCGCCTGGAAACTAAATCAGACACAGGTTATTAGCTGAGGAGAAAGAGGAATTCTCCAGTGCAAGAGAAGGGGACTGCATGGATACAGATCATGCCGTGGCGAGGGGAAGGAAGGGTTGTTCAGAGGAGGCAGCTGGAAGTCAAGGTCTCCTGTTCTCAATGTGTCAGCAAGGGCTTGCACCCCTTCTCAGCCTGTTGAGCTAACACAACCCCTAACATGGGGAAGGAGGAAGGCGTTTTGGGCAAGGTGCTCACACGCAACCATTTCAACCACCTCCAAACCAGAGGCAAGCTGCAGAGCCATTAAGAAGATCAGGCCAGAGCAGTGCCAGGCATTCCCTGGGGGCTGAGCCTGGGATTATCACTCCAGGCTGGGTTGTTCTGCATGCAGAGTTTATACTCTGCAATCAGAGCATGGGCAGGTTTAGAAAGCTCAGATCTGCAGATAAGCACTGAAGTGTGTGCTCACACACACACACACACACACATGCACTGCAGCCTCCTTTCTGATCCAAGTTGCAGGAAACCTGTTTTGGCCTCACAGGAATTTGCCCTAACAGAAACACAGGTCACGTAGCCCTGTTTGCCACTTCCATTTTGGGTTCCGCTGTCTTAATCCACAGCCTCAGTCTTTCTGGTCCCCTCTTAGAGAGAGCTGCATTCTCCTCCTGCCCTCCCAGCTCTTCTTGCCGCCACCAACTGGGTCTGCCTTTCAGCAAGCAAGAGGCCCAATACAACAACATGAGAGAGGGTTATAACTACAGAGCAGGGTTATCACTACAGAGCAAAGAGAACAGCAAAACTTAAAGCCATTTATACAAGGTAATAAGAACCATCCAAAAAAAGAAAGCCCGTCCTCTCCATGATAGCAACCTGGTGAGTAAGAGAACATGGAAGGGAAACAGTATTACTCAGCGTAGCATAACAATGGGTTAGTCTTTTAAAGCTGGTGGGTAAAGGGAAGTTATGCTATGGTTTAAGAGTTACACCCTGAAGATTAAAAAGCCTCGTGACTCTCAGCCCCATGCCACCAAGATGCTTCCTCCAAAGCATGTGACAAGGGCTAGGTCATTCTCACTGTAAAGGAGGCAGTCAGAGTGGCAGCATCAGTCCCTTGAGGCTGTACCAAGTTGTGTCGGGTCAAAAGAGAAGTTCACTGCTCACACCAGCTTCTTTTAGACAGATGTGCGCTGGGAAGATTCCCAGCTCATCTCCAGCTCTGGAACAGCCAGATTGCTGTCAAACAGAGAGGGGAACAGCTGGAGATTCTGCTCCTGGAAACACACATGGAAATCCCAGGTAGCAATACAGCCAGCTGAAGAAAAGGCCACAAGAGAGTGGCGTTTTGCAGGAGGCAGAATGGATATTCCCATCCACAAACGATACGGAGTAGAGCTGCCAAAAATGAAGCAGAGAAACTCCCATTCCAAGGCTACTTGCTCAGTCCTGGTAAGTTAAATTAATTTGCCTGAACCTAAGTAGCTGCAGGGATAAGGATTTCCAGCAGCAAAACTACCCGGGGCAATGTTACAGGGTTCTGCATCACAGACCTGCCCTTCATGCCTCAGGGCTGGCAGGACACCTCTCCTTGAGGGGATGTGGGGGCTTGTGTAAGAGCTGCAGTTTCTTACTTCCACAGCACTGCCTCCAAGGAATCAACCAGCAAACAAGCACTGATCTGCAAGGCAGTTGGTAAAGTCTGCAGTGAAATTACATAAAACACAGCAAATGTCTCTTTGATAGTCCCTCCTCTTCATGTTTCTTATCCAACACCACAGTCCTGCAGAGAAAATCATGTTAATAGACCAAGTGTACTGAAGTTCAGCTCGGAAGAAACAGTGCAGAGAAACCTCTGCTCCTTTCTTTGGCTATGGACTCTCCCCAATTGGATCTGCATGCTGCCTTCTCACCATAGACAAAACTGCAGTTTATGAGCAGCCTTTACACGTAGCTATAAAAACGAGCACCTAGACAAGTTTACATGGACAATCTGCCACCAAGACGACTGAAAAACCCCCAGTGCAGTAAATCCACCTTCCAAAGAGACTGCATCCATGGGAGAGGTTTGAATTTGAGCTTAAAAAAGGGAAAAAGAAAAGAAAGCTTTGTAATTTTCTCCCCCCCCCCAACAGGAAACTGTATGTTACTGCAAACCTTGTAAATTCCATACCCAGCAAGTTGACGCCGGCGAATTCTTTCCATGTACAATTTGCGTGATTTAAGGGGAAAAGAAAAAGGAATCAAATGCACATGGTTCCCTATTATTCGAGGCTAAATGTGCGTGCAAAGCCTCTCCTTTAACTGCCTGTTAAAAAACACCCTGGTTTTAACAAGCAGCTGTCACAACGTTAAACTAGGATTAGCAGTTCCCAAAGGCAGCCTCCCTCGGCAATCTCTGCTCCTTTCGTCCTCCCCTGGAAGGCAATTCCTTTCTTGGTACACCTGTCCAGGTGGGCTAGATTAAGTGAGAAGCACTTAGAGCACTAGTTCCAAAGGCCCCAGGCACGGGGAGGAGATAACAAGAAGGGGAAGAGATTGAGTTAATGAGTTGCAGAACAGCTCCTGTAATCTTCTTTCCTCATTCCACACCTGGATGGACTTCAAACTCCATCCACCTCTGCAAGAGCATGGCTTGTAAAATGAAAACCCGAAGGACACAGAAGGATGTTGACCTGGGGAGACAAAAGAGCTGCAGTTTCAGACATGAAGGCCTGGGGTTTTTTTTTTCCCCTCCAAGGGAGAAATGCCAAGGACATGCTTGCTTGCTCTCTCCTACAAAACCTCCAGACTAAACTCATCATGATTAATTAGATGAAAGCAAGTTTTCTAGGCAACTGACTAGCAGCCCCTTCAAAACAGAGCCTTTAATCAGAAACAACCACTGGGATAACAAAGAAAAGACACCCCCCAACACGCATATTTTCCAGTGTAGCTTCTAGGCCAGCAGACTCAACACCAAACCAACAGCCACCCAGTGGGAGCTCTTACAAGGATGTGTCTGAAGTGTCTTCATTTGGATGTGGGCAGCTGGTTGGAATCATCCATAGGGCTGGGAAACCAGCAGTGAAGCGCAGCCTGGGTCGCAAATTCCTCTTGGCATCAGCAGAGGTCTCGGCCTCACCCTCCAGTTAGATCATGAGCAGGTTGCATGTGGCTGAAAGGGCTGTAATTTGTCTCCAGAATGATCCCAGAGCAGGTGTGGACTGGACACAATAAGGTGATTTTCAAGTGAACAGCTTGGTAAATAGCCTAACGCTGGGTTCTCAATTACTTCCAAGCAGTGTGGCAGGATCGGATATGTAGGTCAGGGACAAAGTCAAAAAGGAGGAGGAAAAAGTCTAAAGCAAGGCTGCACTTTGATCAGGTTTCCTCGATTTTAGCAAGACAAAAGAGTCACTCCCTGGAATGTGGTTATCTCCTCTCAGCATGGTGTCAGACATACCTCTCTAGAGAGGCCAGAGTGTCCCCAGGACTCCATCTGCTGATGGAGCTAAAGGGTATCCCAAAGCCATAGGACAATCTCACCTCTAAGGATGGATTGTGCCCCCCCTGCAACTCTGCAACCCAGAAGACAATGGCTCTGCTGTGTTAGGTGCTGCTCAAACTTACCTTCTCCTACTTGTAAGGAAAGGATAAGGCAATAGTTGGGACTGAAGAATGTTATTTCCCCTTGAGGTTTTCCAGAGAAACCTAAGAAAAGCTCTATGCCAAATGCAGACATTGCAGCATATCCTGCTTCACAAAAGCTGGCAAGCAGGAGTAAGGACACACAAGGTGGTATAATCAAGCACTGGCAACAAAAGCAGCACACACCAGCTAAAACAAGGAACTACAGTGTTATCAGGAGTGGATCAAGGCCAGATTTTTCAACTCCACAATGAGATGAGCTTATAGAAGAGGCTCCAGAGAAGGAGAATAAGGAAGGAAGCCAGGGGAGGCTTGATTTTGGGGAAGAGGGCACAGTGGGGACAGAGCAGATGTGGGCTCCTGTTTGCATGACTCTCCCAAAAGCAAACCAATCTCTGCTGCAGCCACACACCTTCTCCTGTCTCCATTTAACTTCCCAACAGGCTGGTGATCCACTTCTGGAGAGGCACAAGGTCTCAAGTGAATTCAGACCAGCTCACTTTTTGCCTTGCACAAGGCTCTTGCACCTACACGCACAAACCCCCTGGTAATCCTCTGCCAGCACAGCGTACCTCTGTTTTCACTGAAAGACTTACATCTGAAGGTTCAAATCTGTCTTGAAAGCTTGAGCCAGCACACCTGAGCCAGGCCGGAAACTCCCATCCCTGCAGCATGGCACGGTGGAAGGGAGGAAATGCCAGGACAAGCTGGAGCAGCAGACAAGTGGCATGACCCGACAGATAGACATCTTTTCAGGGAAGGATACACACACGCTTACAATTTGTTCCACTGGCCATGCCCTGAACTCATTGCAGGGAACTGCAAAAGCTCTCCTTGCTTAGTGACTGCCAATAGCATAAAATGAAGCTTCTCCAAAGCATCTTCCAGCCGTGCCAAGGAAACTGCAGGTAGAATTCCCCCAGGCCCCTTCCTCCATGAGCAGCAAGGACCCTTGCCCCCCACTCATCCCCCAGAAGGGGCCCAAAGCCTCCACGCACTGACTCTAAAGCAGACCCATTCTTTAGTGCCATTCACACTGTCAGCCCTCCTGGAGGACCAGCACTGAGCAGACATCATTTTCAGACCTTAGAAATGGACTTCAGCAGCTCCTGAGGAAAACTGTTGTGATTCCTCGTGGTGCTCTTAGCTCCACACAACAGTCCCTCCATAAGGTGTTTTCCTTTAAGGGTGTCTTCCACCCCCTCATGTCTATGTGGACAAACTGGCCTTCTCCCAGGACTTGCGATCTCCTTTCACTCCAAATCCCATCACTACAGCCTCCAACCTGACATGAAGGGGTGTAGATGGGTCTCTGGAAGTCATTCACACACAGCACTGCCAACTCTCCCATTACCTTCAATGCAGCATCCTCTGCCACTGCATC